CTTCGGAGCCAGAGAAAACAATGTAGCATTACACATATAAACTGGGACGGTCGCTAGAACCGTAAAGCCACAGTGGTGGAGGAGTCGTTAACATCGGGCTGACGTCCTTATCAGCGGTCGTGTTTACTGTGCAGTGTCTCGGTGTCGACCAGCGATATTAGCCACAGGTACCGCCATCATGTTTATTGACTTCATTACAATGTTTAATTGATATTCGGTGAGCTTTGATCATTCACTTCGCTAGTGTGGTGCCCAAAGGAGGTGTTTGAAAAAAATCGGTAAACGAACGTTGCATTTATTACATACATTTACACACGAACTACCGTGTTTTATTTATTTATTTATTTTTACGAAGATATAGCCTGTTTAACGGCATTTATTTTTTTGTTTTTAACTACATTTTGTGAGGAATAATTCCTTTACGTCTTCCCAGAAATGTGAGGATAATGGAAAGGCACTGAGCACGAAATTCGCTCTTAATGTAGCTCTGCATCATTTATACCAAGTTTAAATTTACGGAAGTATAAAACAGTACAATTACATTCTGCACACACCAGTTCTTACATTACTTTACTCTCGTTTATGTGGTTTCAATATAAGCATGAGGGGTAGGCTTTAATCCTACTGGTTTAAGTCCAGGAATATTTAAATCCAGCAAATAAAAAAGTCAAATCGTGATGTCGCATTGGAGATTTGAATTTATGACAAACAGTATTGATATAATCAGGAATTGTTAAGCCTAAAACACGTCGTTTTATTTGGCTCTAATCAAAAACCAGAAGCCAGTTTTTCATTCGTAAGAATTACGGGTTCAAACTACAATCGCATCGTGTTGCTGGGTTCTGCATTGTAACCTAAATCTATTTTCCAACGTAGTCTTGTAATCCTGTTCAGTTAATCTTTACTATGTCAGGAAGGACTTATCGTAAATATTGATAACCACTTACCAGACCACACGTCGTCACAAACTAGAAGACCGACATCGCTTCTTCACCGCGACGGTAACCTCAGATCTCACATATTTTTCCAGTTTGTTAGTGTATATGCCTGGACCTAAATTGCTATTGAAGTAGTCAATTTCTGCTTAGCAGCTCTCCGAAAAATTTCATATTTCGAACATTTTTTTATGTCTTTGATACGGTTACTGTAGATGTAAGTAATTGCTGTTTGACAGTAATCATGACGGAGTAAAAAATGCCGGGTCCTTTTATGTTGTATTTTGAGAGAGAACCACTAACACGCCCTGTCTCCATTGACACCAGGAATTTCAAAGACAAATCTGACTCCTTCAGTGTTGAGCTGCCTCATCCGGCAGTCGGACAGGGACATAAACAACTAATTAATCTATCCGTCCAACCCTCGAACAGTCGTGTTCCGTTTCAGCGATAAGAAAATAAGCAATACGAAAATATTCAGCATCCACGTATTGAAAGTCAAACTGATGGAACTCAGCACCATTGTTTCGTTACGAGAGTGTCGCAAACCTATGCGAAGCCGCTTCTACACAGCGCCAATGGAACACTTTAGCCTAATTCTACTCGTATTTTAGACTGTGGAACGGCTGCATCATTTTCAGTCTTAACACCTAACATCATGATTCAGTGAGTAGCATTCCGTTGTCTTCGGGAGACCTAGGTTCTATTTCGGCCTGGTGAATAACATTCATGATAGTTGTAACAAAATATTTTTAGGAAAAATGACAAATCCGCAACTCTACACTTTGCCCATCAAATGTAGTTAGGCCAATGAATTATTTGTATGATCCGCAGAATAAACAAAAGATTGTCTCCTAAACAGCATCAGTAATTTGATCTTTGGAAGAGTGTTGAGTTTTCTTTGAAGTAGGAAGTGAATCATTAAATATTCGGCTTTAAAGAGTAAAATATGTTTAGCTGAATAAACGTAGGCCTGTGGTGTTGTGGATCTCAGAGACAGGAAACAACAGGAGGTAGAAAGATTGCGTGATGAAGAGATAAGGAGTTTCACAAGCTACGCCCTCCGCTTCAATAAATAGGCTATTATTACGATAATTGAACCAATGAAGGTAAAATGTGCAGGCGCCCTGATAACGGAGACTGTAAGCACCTCTGAAACGTCTGTCAACGTCTACGAGACTACATGGCGAAATATTCCAAAAGGCTGCCGGATTCAATTCCAAGTTATCTTCTACCACCTTAAATTAATTATTCGGTTATTCGATGTGGAACATAAAATGATATTTTAATTATCTTATATGTAAATTTTAAATATAATTGTGATTAGACGGACAAAACCGAATAATTAATTTAATATTTGATTCACAATATGACGCAATTATACTATCTTCTACCATCTTTCTTTATCTGATCTACGCTTACATTATTTGTGGGATTGCGCTAATAGGACCAAGTGTCTTTTCATCTCACCATATAGGTTCTACGCCAACTATCTTCCTTAAGTTCCTCTATCTTATCAGTAGACCTAGTCCAGTTTCGTTTCCATCTAGCCTCGCTTTTCCAGTTATGGGTCCTGTTTGTTATCTTTGTCACCCGTTTATTTATTCATGTGTTACTACTGTAATTTACCGCTGGTTTAGCCAGTATTATGTAATTAAAAAGCTTTTACGGCGATTTCAATACGATGACTTTCGGGCTGTCAGTCGTGTTGGTTGAGTTGGTGAAGAAAAAGCCAACATTTCGAGAACTACGCTGTTCTCATCCTCAGGGCACTCACTAATCCAGTGCCCCGAGGACAACCCGAAAGTAGTCACACAGTATTCTGTAACTTTATGACCTACCTTTAAGTAAGATTCTTCTGCGTTCCTTTTACTGAAGTATCTGTAAATAATACAGCTTATACTGCCATTCGTAGAGTTTCTCAGCAACTCCTGGAATTATTATAGAATGTTTAAATTCTATTGGTTTCTACACTCAGTAATCATATTTCCTACGCCTTGCTATTGTTCCTCTTTCAACGGCTACAGTCTCCTTTTTTTTCAGAAACAAAATATGACATAAGCAGGAATAATCTAGTTAGCATCTCGGTAGTGGAGTGAAATAACCCTAGTGTTGGTTGAGATCTTGCATCAGTTTAACCGACCGTACCCTCCGCCATGTTCCCGAGGGGCAAAAGCAGCCAACATAAGCGACACGTGACCCATTAAGCTTCTAAATACACATATATCGTCTCTTTCTGTGTAGTTTCAATTTCTCATCATCGAGCCAGCAGCCTCTTAATAGGACAGTCGTATGTAAACAGCGAAGTTCAGCCAGAACCACCACGACGCCCTCTACTTTTGGTACAACCTCAGTACAGGAGAGATGCAGCCTAGGAACAAACGGATCTGAGTAAGATATCTGCAATGTTACAGCACTTAGTCTCCATCCCTCGCCTTAGCACAACTTCAGATGTCCTCAGAATTGGATCAAGAGAATTTCTAAGGCCTTAACCCCCTCTGTTTGGGCTTAGCGTTATGTTGGATTTTAAAGTCTGAATGCTGTTTATGAATTCAGTTCGAACCTCGACATTCCAAAGATCAGTTCCATGCATCTGTTTAAAGAAATGATCCTTGCTTATACTGAGAATTATACGAATCTTGTAAATACAAAATGCAGCGTTACTTATTGTTGACCGAAGCTTAATGCCATATATGACCTTGGCGGCGTAGCGATTGTTGGCATCGCGACGCTACTCTTCTGTTCCCAGAGTAGTTTCCGACGGCATTCCACGATTATTTGTGCCAATAGACGGCTTTAACTGCAGCGTAGCGACGAACGGCGTCGATCTTCCAACATCATGCTCGGAGGCTTCCCGAAGGCAACAAATAATAAATATGATCTCCTTGGTGGCGGCTCGTCGATTGGCATCGCGACATTCGGCGTCTTTCCCAGAGTCGTTTCCGACTATTCCAGGTTTCATTTTTGCCAATTAAAATGTTTCTTGGAGTCGCGACTAATGGCGTCGGTTCTGAGGTTGTAAGGAGTGACCCTGAACATATTCTGGAATGGTAAACGGGGCCTGAAAATGTGCTGAAATGGTCCAGGAAAAATGTTGGAATTGTCTTCCAAATGTCCTGGATTAGCCATAAATTCCTCGAGTAGTCTCGGAGAAGTATTGAAATGGCCTGGAGAGGTCCTGGAGTGGTGATCGAGTGGTTCAGGATAGGTCCTAGAAATGTCCTGGAATGAACCTGTAGAAGTCCTGGAGAGATAATGGTGATGTCCTGGAGAAGCCATAGAGTCCTGTTATGACCCATCCTTCATTCGACAATATCGTGTCCGGAGGCTTCTGTATTCCTTTTCCTAGACCACTCTTCCGGCCTAATTACCACAAGGGATTAGGTATACTACTTTGTTTGGACGTAGTGGATGCTGTTGATTCTGTTGTCTATAAAAGTCCTATAGTCTGATGAATCTGTTTAAATAGCTTTCAATTGTTTCGAAAGACGAGTGTGAAATGAGCAGAATCGTTTGTAGAACACCCTAGAGGATTATTCCAGAAACCGAAAGCTAGAATTTACATAAGAAACAAATATGTCGACAGTGTGAAACATAGGCGGAAGACATCAAAGGAAGTGCTACTTTGTAATGGAGTAGAGTAGAAAGCGAGACTCCTCGTGTTCAAGGAATAGTAAAAGAGAAAATGTGGATCCCATGTTCCAGTTTATTACACGTGTTTACCGAGTCTTCTATGCGATATTGCGTGTTTTATTGGTTTAATGATCATTTGCAGTAAACACTAACCTGGAAATGGGAGTATTGTCTCTGTCGTTTTATGACTTTTAATATACGTTTAAGTACAGAACGGCGCTCCTGTGATTCTAGTTTCCTTAGCAGTACAGAAGACTGGAAGGTGTCAACACGAAGACGCAGGAACAGGACCTCGCTAACAAGCAGCTGTTGACGGCGGTAGTAGATTTCGACCGTTTCGCATAGTAGATATCGTACGTTAACTTCGCAGCGAAATCACGGATCAAGTAACGTGTGTAAAATTTTGTTTAGTCTGATCTTATGGATACTTCATGAAAAGAAGAAGAAAAAATACGGACATTTGTTTCACATAGCCTAAATAATGTAGCCTTAAAATACGGTCAATTTAATTTCATTCGAAAAATTGATACTAGTCTTGTCAGTCATTCTAAATGTCGGTGGTTACGTTTAATGACGAGTTCTTATGGACTTTCTTTTAA